AAAAAAAAGAAGAAGAAGAAATACAGAACTCAACAAAAATGGTAATGGAGGTCGTGTACGAAGACATCGGCGAAGAGAACACTCAGTGCCCTAATCATCCCTACAAAAACAGTAGCCCAGGTGGGATCTGCGCCTTTTGTCTCCAAGAAAAGCTCGGCAAGCTTGTTTCCTCTCCACCCTTTTTCCCCTTGTCCCCCAATCCTCCCAGATCCGCCGCCGTCAGCGGCGGCGCCTCCGCCCCCCGCCTCCCTTCCTCTGACTCCGCCACCCAAAACAGGGCCGCCGGATTAGAAAACAGCGGGCCCTGCTCGAGAAAACCGCGGTTGCCCTTTCTGCTGACGGCCCACAAGAAAAATAGCATCAAAGATTCAGATTCAGCGCCTATCGTCTTCAATAGAAGCAAATCCACGGCCACCCCAAGAAGAAGAAGTGACGGAAATTGCTCCGGCGAGGGTTACACTTACAGCCCGAGCAGCAGAAGGGGTTTTTGGTCATTTCTCCACCTGTCCAAGAATTCTGCTGTTAAGAAAGGTAATGGGCAGTTCAAAGGTTCCGACTTTATCGACATAGACGAACGGGAAGAGGATGATATCGTGGCTGTCGATCAAAGTCATCAAGAGAGTCCTTGTAATTTCTCGAGGTCGAGATCGGTCGGGTGTGGGAGTAGGAGTTTCTCGGGCTTTGGCGATTGTACTCTCAGAAGGGTTGAGTCCCAAAGGGAAGGAGGCTGTGGAAATAAGCTTAAGGTACAACCGGATCGAAATGTACGAAATAATGGTGATGATTGTGGTGGACAAGATTGTATTAAGGAGAGAGTTAAATGTGGTGGTATATTTGGTGGTTTTATGGTAGCTAGTTCAGTTGAGGAGAGTAATGTGAATCATGGTATTATGAGAAGTAAAAGTTGGGTGTGGGCATTTGCAAGTCCAATGCGAGCTTTTGGGAAGCATACCAATGGTAAAAGGGATGCTAATGTTAATAGTTATGTTAATGGCAGTAATTCGTTGAATAAGAATCGCGTGACGACTCCTAATTTAGCTGCTATACCTTCTCTGTTGGCTGTCGGGGTCTGAAAGAAAAACGAGACACCGTTTGATGTTAATTTGGGTTTAGTGAGTGTGATTTAGGAGATGTTGCTCGATTTTAAGGTCTCTTGGTAGAGGTTTCTGCTGTTGGATATATTTTGATTATTAGTGCCTTTCTGTTGTTGTAACTTGTGATGATGATTGATGCTGTTTAATTTTAGTTTTTGTAACTTCCTTTTTGTTGGTGTAATCAAGCTCTGATTTTCAGTACTGCATTGTTTTTGTGGTTCACAGTTACAATGTTGTGGTTGATGCTTGGCTGATTGATGCCTTTCATTCACGTAGTTCATTTTGGGAGAGAATATAAATTAGACATGGCCACGGGCGGCCCGCCCGTGGCCCAACCCGTGACCCGGTACCGGACCGGCCCGGCCCGGTACCCGTACCGGCATGAATAGTGCCGGGTTCGAGAACCGGACCGCGGCCAATCCGGTCCGGTTAAGGGTCACGGTTTTTTTTTTCGGCGGGCCGGGCCGGGCCGAGCCGGTCCATTTTTTGCTTTTTTTAAGGGCCGTACCTGCCCGTGAACCGCCGGGCCGGTGAACCGGCGGTTCGGGCCGGTCGCGGTTCGGCTGTTTGAGGGCCCGTGGCTCGGCGGGCCGGGCCACGTCTAATATAAATCAATGTAAAGAGATTGTTTTGACGATATGATGGATTTGAATTGGATATTGGACGAGCTTGTGATGATTATTGTAAACTGTTGATTATATAGATAGATAAACATATGAAGCCTTCTGTTCAGGGATAGGGGTGTAAACGAGGAGCTACCGAACTTATAGTTGAGCTCGAGCTCGGCTCGTTTATCGACATTAGCGAAAGCCGAGTTCGAGCCTTAACAAGGCAAAATCGAGTCGAACAATAGAAAAATACATAAAAAATATTTTTTTCAAACTTTATCAAATCGAGCCAAGCTCGACTCGTTAATTGATCGAGCTTTTAATCAGTTCGAGTTCGACTCATTTATCAAATGAGCTGAGTCGAGTTCACGAGCGGTATGTTTAATTTAACAGGACATGTTACATTTTCATATTGTTCTTGTTTTGTTGGATGCATGAAAGTTGTACAAATGCCACGTTATCATAGACATGTGTCGTGCATCTAATGAAGTGAAACAAAAAATGGAATACAAAATTCAATAGAAAATCTCACTCCTTCTATTAGTTATTATTATTAATTATTAATGAGATGTTATACATATTTATTATATCCCCTCTTTCTAATTTGTGTTTACTGTTTGTTCCATAAGAAGAAGAAAAATAAAAAAATACAAAGAAAAGATAGAATGATAAATAATTATCAAATTCGTTTTATAATTCTGTTAGAAATCCTACGGCATGAATCCCTCATCGAAATCACTTAGCAGGCTGCTTGTTCACAAGGCTATAAAACGCCGGTCGAAACTCACACATAACCATACCTTTCTCGGCCTGTTGGCTAAGATCGAGTGTAGTACTACATCTTATTTTTAATATATGTCATTTTGAAAAGTTGCACTTTAATTAAGAATATTTTTTTGTCAATTATGATTTTATTAGTTGAAGATAGAGATTAATGTTTTGAGAAAAAAATGAAGAGTGAATATGAAAAGACGTAATGTATTTATTGGCTAAATGAGGGTAATAATGGAAAAATGTGTATCCAAAACGATATTTATTTGGCAAATAATTGAAAAAGTTAGAATGACATTTAAAAAAAATAGGAGGGAATATTTTTTATTAGATTAATATCGGGAAAATTTTGTAACTGCCATAGTTTGAGAAAAATATTTTCAAATAACTACAGGGCATACACAATTCCACATATACTCCAAAACTAGACAAAATTATGAAAATAGAAAAAAAAATTTGAAAAAGCAAATAAATACAAAACAATGAAAAACATAAATATTAAAAAAAAAAAAACAAACTGTTTTTCTCTCTTAACAAATGAAAACATAATTTTGTTCTATTTCTATCTACTAAAATGCATTCCAAAAAAAAAAGATTTCTTCTTCTTCTTCTTCAAAAAAAAAAAAAAAAAAAA